TGAGAGAGCACACAAAGTAAGAAACGAGGAATAAGAAAAATTTGTTGCAATATTGATAGATTCTGATATGACACTGAGTGTTTTATTATTTTTACAAAAAGAATTATATGCTTTTTGGGAAATAATAATAGAAAAAGCTGTGTTTTCATCAATTCTTCGAGATTTGGTAACATCAGTTTGAGAAAAAATAATTGGATGGTTTAAATAAAAACCTACATTTGTATATAATTCGATACTGGTCAGGCATCTAAGGTATTCTGACAAAGATTCGTTGCCAATCAATGATATAGAACAAGCATTAAATAAACAGTTTCCGTTTGGAGAAGTTCTAATAATAAAAAAAAAAATTAATATAAGCGAAGCAACATAATTTATGTTATGTCACAAAATAATTATTACATAATTTTATATCATAAAATGACTTACTAGTAAATTATTTACTAAATGTAAATTTGGTATTATTCAAACATAAAAAAAATTATAACATAATTGATTATTTTCTCCTTGAAATATGATATTATATGAAATATGATATTATATACTTTTTTGTATACTTTTTTTTTTTAGTAAAATTGTGGGCGCTACTCGACTTTCTCCCCCCCCCTGTTTTTATGATTGATTTTTATAGAGTATATTATACTGATTCTAAATCATATAAAAACATAGGTCTGAAAACTTGAGGAAAGTACTCTAAACTGATGTTAAAGTATAAAAATCCACATTAAAAAACGCTAATATTCCACCATCTTTTTAAAAACATTTTAACACTGTTTTTAAAATTTAGGTAATTAATTTTTTAACTAACGACCCGGTTTTTATTGTTGTTTTTATATTTTATGATGTACATACATCAACTGACATATAGGAATAGGCGCAACTAAATGTACATGCATCGACTGACAAATAGGAATTGGCGCAACTAAATGTACATGTATCGACTGACAAATAGGAATTGGCGCGATTAAATATACATACATCGACTGACAAATAGGAATTGGCGTAAATAAATGTACATATCTACTGACAAATAGGAATTGGCGCAATTAAATGTACATGATTTTGGTCAGGGTTTGGTTGGGGCAGGAAATCAATAAAAAATGCGTTTTAAATTGAAGCGTCGATAGAAACCAGGGTTTTTCAAAGTTTTTATTGAAAAGGAATTTTATTATAACCGAGTATGACAAAGATGGCTAATATTAGCGTTTTTAATGTGGATTTTTATACTTTAACATCAAATTAGAGTACTTTCCTCAAGTTTTCAGACCTATGTTTTTATATGATTTAGAATCAGTATAATATACTCTATAAAAATCAATCATAAAAACAGGGGGGGGGAGAAAGTCGAGTAGCGCCAAATTGTGTTCATGATTAAGTATATATACTTAAGGATGAACACAATTTTACTTAAAAAAAAGTTTTTTAAATTTAAGCACCTAGAACAAAATTTTACACATCTTTCAGCTTAAATAAAAAAGTTTGTAGTAAAATATTAGGCACAAAAAGCTATAGTATAGCTTTTTGTATATCCTATAGTATAGGCTAAACAAAATGTTTGTGTGTGTAGGCTATAAAAAATATGTGTGTGTGTTGTGTTAATTAATGGTTAAAATAATAGCAAATTAAGAAATCATTTAAAGCCGGTTATATATGATTTCTTAATTTGCTATTATTTTAATCATTAATCAACACAACACACACATACATAAACACTTCGTTTGTTTTTTGTTTTTTTAATTTAATATAATTATTTAAGAAACAACTTATTACCTCACTGGTTGAAAATCACTTTCTGCTCGAAATGATTGAGATACGGGAAACTGCATACTTGAAACTTTGCATATTTTATTCAATATACTTACTTTAGATTTTTCATTAAACAAAAATATTTCTCTAATCTTATTATGAGCTTCGACAATAACATTAGATAAAAACGATTCCTTTTCTGATTGAACCCTATTTTCATCTAAACTACATTTTAAAATGATTCGAAGCATTGAATCCGCCATGTTAGAACACTTAACCTACGAGTTAACAAAAAGCTTAGTGAAAAACCTTTTTTCTGATTTTTGCGTGATTAACTTGCACCCTTCAGATATCTTTCTGATTGGGTCAGCACCCCTCAGAACCTGTTTTGATTAGCTTAAGAAACCAAGCCAATCAAAAATAGCTTCTGAGGGGTGCAGGCCAATCAAAAATAATTCTGAGGGGAGCAGGCCAATCAAAAAGCGACTATACTGGAGTTTCCTAATCGAAGCATAAGTATGCACAAAATACGCAAGCGCTGAACGCAAAGTATTACACAACAACAAAGATAATTATTTATTTATTTTTGACTTCCTTCACAAAAAATGAAATCGCAAATTTTGAGTTGAATAAACTATTTTAACAATTCAATTTTTATTTATAAAAAAAATGCAACGAAATAGGAAACTTTACTTGTTAAAGTTGACGGGTGCTGGAGCACCCTTTGAACCCCTCTGGATCCGCCCCTGTTGGTCTTCGGTTAATGGTCAGTTGATGAAAAATATTGAACATGTATAAAAGATGTTTTTTACTAAAAGAATGCATACAAAATCTTTCATTACTGTAATAATATATAAGTTATGTAAATATAAATTTAAAAAAGGTATTTTATGACTAATACATGCATTGAAAAATAATATTTTTGATGTTTACACTGATAAAAATTGTCTTCTCCATTAAAAATATTTCGTACTTTTCACCAAAATTTACTTTTTTATTATATTTTTTTATATTATATAATTACATGTTTATTACTAGGGTTGTTCACGAAAGCCAAAGTTGAATTTTCGATTAAAAAAAAAGTTTTCGAAACTCTATTTTCGTTTCGGTAAGTTCGAAATAATTTTAAAGTAATTAATTTTGCATCGAAACGATTTTTTTACTTTCGAAGTTGTAAAATTTGCTTCGAAATATTTTTGCGATTTCGAAATTCTGAAAATATTGTCGAAATAATTTTTTACTTTCGGAATTGTAAAATTTGCTTCGAAATATTTTTGCGATTTCGAAATTCTGAAAATATTATCGAAATAATTTTTTACTTTCGAAAATGTAAAATTTGCTTCGAAATATATTTGCGATTTCGAAAATCGGAAAATATTACCGAAAAAATTTTTTACTTTCGAAATTGTAAAATTTGCTTCGAAATATTTTTGTGATATCGAAATTCTGAAAATATTACACAATATTACTATTAAATTCTAAAATTTGCTAATATTTATTTTATTACTGAATTTGTACAAAATTTTATTAAAATATTTTTATAAATAATTAAATTTTAAAAATTAACATAAAATAATACTTAAAATTTTTGGTGTTACGGCCAGAGAAAAGGGTTTAACTACCTCCCACTATTTTATAGAAGAATCTGCAATTAATTTAATAATAACTCAGGGATCGTTCGCAAATCACCTCACATATTTAAGCCTAGCTTGGTTTCGGATTTTGTGACACTTTGGGGAGCTTTTTTATTTTTAGTAACAGGTTTTTTTAAATTTTGGGGCCCTAATGACTTTTTTAGTGTAAACGCTGTATACACTGGTTTGATAATGGCTCTCTGAAATGCCAGTCCTGGCTAGCCGTAAAACGAGTATTGCTGAGCAGCGCAAGTGTTATTGCCGAAGCGTAACATCAGACATCTGACCAATATATGGGTTTATATGTATTGTTTGCACTGATAAGTCCATAGACGTAGAGTTTTTATTTTTCCAGATTGGGCTCAAACAGTGGCGTCAATTCAGAAAAAACTTATAAGGAGGGGCCAATTTGTGAAAACAATTTAACTCTTTCCCCCCCCCCCTCCTTCACAAACCAAAATCATAACATTGAGCAGCACAATTCAATTTTGTTTCTTATTTGGTATTGGTATTTTGTTAAAAACTTTACTTTAAAAACTTTACTTTAATAAAACTCTAAATATATAGAAAATAAGACTATTTTGGCTACTTTTTAAAAGAAACTGCTACCAAAAAGCAAGGATATACTCACAGCCGTGGATAGGCTCCCCACGCTCCTCCTTAATTGGGGGGGGACAAATTTAGGGGGTCTTTTTCAAATTTTTGAGGGCCTTTTACCGAATTTGCCCCATGGACATCTGCTGCCCGGGACAAACAATACCTTCACCTCTCACGCCTGATTAGATTAAGCTTCATTACTTTTTACTTTTATAAAATTATTTTTAGGGATTATATTTACCCTCACCAAAAGCTTGAATAGCCTTTTTGATAGCTTGAATAGCGTTAAAAAAATAGTTTTTTTTGCGCGTCGTTTTGATTGCATAAAAATTTCTTTTGAAAATACTTTTTTTATTTCGAAAACACAACGTTTAAAAATCAAAGTAAATTTGAAAGAAAAGCTGCGTAACTTTAGACACTTTAGAAGAGTCTGTAAGGAATTTTATTTTTAATATCTGTAAATTTTTAAAAATAAAGTAGAAGGTCAGCTTAAAAAAATTAGCAAAAACTAAATTATTTTTCGAATTTTTCTCTAAAATCCTATAAAGATTATCTGGTTAAACAAGAAATATAGAATTTTGACAGTCCCTTCTAAGAACGCATAGTTTACAGCACGCACATAAGTCATTATTATTCCTCAACGGCAATTCCCTTGAGGTCTTAAACGCATGACATGAAATCATTGTTGCAATGTAAACGGCTAATTACTTTCTAGTGGTTATTTAGAGATTTGCAACGGTTTCAAATCGACTTATGCCTTTGCGATTTTTGTGTTACATAATTCTAAAAATGGTGTAATTTTATATTAAAGTTATAACAATCTCATTAATATTTCGGAAACGTAAGTGAAGTAACATGTGGTACAAATTTATTTTATCATAAGTTACTAATTTGTTAATATTTGTTACATACGAACGAGTAAAAAAACTACTCGCTTTTTAGTTTGAATAAACAATGTCAAAAACAAATAAATCCGTTATTAAGAAAGGAATAAGAAAACGAAGCTTCGTTTGGACATATTTCGAAATGGACCAAAAGAATCAAACAAAATGCAGCATATGTTACAAGATTTTACCTTACAACAGTTCGACCAGTTCAATGCAATCCCATTTATCAATTGATCATTGCATTAATTCTAAAATATCTAAAAAATCAACAACTTTACTCAACGATGCCGATATATCCGATATTGAGAGCGGTAATGAGAATGGTTTTGAAGAGACTGGTCATAAAAAATTAAACAGGTTATTGGTGAATTTTATTGTTGGTATCGATCAGCCGATTTCGATAGTACGTCATCCAGACTTTGTAAACTTAGTTAGTGAGTTAAACAAAAGCTACAAAATGCCTTGCATAAATACGGTGAGCAAGAAATTAATTCCATCAATTACGGACAATCTTAAATCAATTTTAATGCTAGAATTGAAGGGATGTCGTTTCATTACAATTACTTGTGATAGTTGGTCATCATTAGGTAAAAACAGCTACCTCGGTGTGACTTGTCATTTTATTGACAAAAATATGACTCTAGTTGACCGAAACCTGGATCTTAAGTTTATGTCTGAAATGAAAACAGCTGAATATTTATTTAATACGTTAAACGAAATCTTCAGTGAATGGTCAATCAATAATAAGATTTTTGCACTAGTTACTGACTCAGGTGCAAATATTTTCTCTGCAGTAAATAAATTTGATGATAATGTTCTTAAGATTCCGTGTGCTGGTCATCGTTTGAATCTCGTGGTTAATGATCTTCTAAACGCACGAGATATAAAAGTAAAAAAATTTAAAATTGGGTCAAAGCGTTACCAAGTAAAAGATTACGACGGTAATGGAAAACTAATTAATAGAGAAATTACAGAAAGTGAAGTTAAAGAAATTGAAAAAATTAACGAAGGCAAATTAGAAATCGCCAAGGTAATTTCATCCTGCAGGCACATTGTTGGTTCATTTAAGCATTCAGAGATGTTACAAAAAAAGGTTAAAAGAAGTTCAAGAAACACTTCGTTATGAAACTAAAATAAAGTTAGTACAGGATATAGCTATTCGCTGGAATAGCCAATTCGATATGATTGAATCTATATTAACAAATAAAACTGCATTGGATATGATAAGCATCGAATTCCAAAATATAAAAGACTATCTTCCCACTGCTACTGAATTTAAGGTGCTGGAGGATTTGTGTGATTTGTTACACCCAATTAAAGAGCTAACAAAACTTTTTAGCGGAAAGAAATATGTTACAGTAACATTCCTGTTTCCAACACTGTATTCTCTACTAAATGAAATACTTGAATCGCAACTTATTTTTACAGAACTAGTTAAGACTTTTCAAAAGGAATTATTAAGGTCTCTAAAAGGACGTTTTAAATACATTTTTGCTAATGATTTTTTTTTAACAGCTACTTTTCTTGATTTCAAATTTTGTAAATTCGAGTTTATCAAAAATGATATCTATAGATATGAATGCATTTCAAAGGCAAAAATGTTTATAAAAACATTTTATGAAATGCATCTAAAAGAAACCGAAGAAATCGATATAACAATTGAAACAAATTGTTTAAATAACACTTTGAACTCGTCAAACAGCTCAGCTGACAATACCATAAAAACATTTCAGCAATTGTCAACGTCACCTATTGCAAATAATATTACTTTAGTTAACAACAAAAGACGAAAGTCAATCAACTTAATTGAACTAGTAACAGATAAATCTTGTTGTAATTTAATTGAGAGCAATGATAAACTTGAAAAAGAAATAAATGATTACAGTCTGCAATACTTTCATAGCTACGAAAATAGTGCCATTGAATTTTTCCAAGCTAATCAAAAATTGTTCCCGGTTTTGACACAAATTGCACGGATAATATTTTCAGTTCCAGCGACATCCGTGCCATCAGAATGCTTATTTAGTTCAACCGGTTTAATAGATACGGAGCTACGGAGCAGGCTTGCGCCAAGCTTATTGAAGCAGTTAGTTTTTATTAAAGAAAACAAGTAATCAAAAACATTTCTTTATTAAAATAAAAAAAATTATTTAGTAAAAGTGTATTTTATAAATCTTAGTAATTTAAAGCACTTGTATTCTTTTTTTTTTATCTGATGAACTTTTTTACAAACAGCTTAATTAATGACAATATGTTTTCTGCTACATTCTTTTCAATTCTGGAAAAAACACCAATATCCAATGATTGAGCTGCCATCAGGGCAGGTGCAAGTAGGTGTGACGTGGTGGGGTGTCATTAAAATTTTTGTTGAGTAAAAAATTAGGTCCTTGTTTTTTGAAGTTCGACGACTGACCTGTCTAAAAGGTCTACATTTGCCGACTTCTTTAAAAGGGTTATTTTTGCCGACTAAATGCACAAAAAATGCATTTAGGAAGGTGTGTGTGTAAATGATTCGTAAATTTAAATAATCTTTCCCCGTTATTGAATGGTTTAGAATTTGTAACTAAAGAGGACTAATTTCATAGCTTGTAGCAGTAGCATTTACTGTTATGATATTGCCCTTTTTTAAGAAATCTTGTTGTCCAAACAACTAATTATAAATTGGATTGTTTTATCTTTCCCTAACTTGAGGAAAATCTTTATGAACAAAAAAGTGATTAGAAGAGAGTCTTTTTTTAACTTTCTAGGAGTGATTATAGATGAAAATATATCATGGAAATATCATATTAAATCTATTGAAATTAAAATATCCAAAAATACTTCAATGCTATATATAGTTAAACCTTAACTTTATTTAGCATATAAAATATATAATTTTCTTAATACGGAGTCTTTGAAAATTATATATTTTTCATTTAGGGAGAGTGGGGCAAAGTGGGTCGAATTTCTTTCTTTTTTAATTTGAGTGAAAGTTAAAATATATATTTTATGTTTGTCAAGGCTAAAGGATTGAGAATATGTCCTTCATGATAAGAAATAACTAAAATCTAAATATATATTATCTAACAGCTCACAGAAAGGTTTAAAGTGAGTTTTGTTAAGTGATTCACTGTACCCCAGTACTGGGGTACAGTGAAACAATTAACTCATTTGCAATTCAGTGGTAGTTAATGGGGGCGTAGCCAAATAATTTTGAGGATGAGGGTGTAAATACATTGTACACTATACTTTTGGTGCACTTTTGGTAACTAATATTAAATAATTTAAATTTTTTCTGATTGAAAAAATAAAGAATAAATTTTATTGATAACAAAACTTATTCAACCATCTAAAATCACAAAAAAAAAATTATTTAATAAAACTTATTTAACCAACAACACAAGAAATTTTTTAAAGTGAATTTTTAATTTTTATAAACATTTTTATCACAGTGAATTAACCGTTTCACGGTACCCCCGATTCATTGTGCCCCACTATAAAAAATAAGGTTCAAGTTTAATTTCTTGGGGCATGAGTTTTATTAAAGGAAAAGCAAAACTACTAAAATGAACCATAAAGATCAGTATTCCGAATATAAAACTTTAACTTATAAAATGATTTTAACCATGATCTCCACAACAAACATAAAAATGGTAAGAGCATTTACTTTAGTTAGCTAAAAACATAAATTACCTACCTAAAACCGAGAGTCAAAAATTATGTGGTAACACCTATAAATAAAGATGGGTGATATATGCGCACATAAACTTATTACATCATCGTGATGAACAAAATCATAATCTTTGAAAAAATGCTTCTTATTCACTGTGCCCCTCAATCCACTGTACCCTGACTTCCCCTATTCATAGTTTTTTATTTATAAACTTAATATATACCAAGTTATGCTTTTTACGTTTAAATCAAAACATGCGTTATCTCCTTATATATTTCACTCTTACTTTGCAGAAATATCTCATTAATACCCATCTGATAATTTTGTAATTCCAAGATCTTATTTAAAACTCAATTCATTTCAAATTCAATACCGTGGACCATTTATATGGAAAAGGTTATAAAAAAGCATTATTAAAAATAAAATTCTTCTAAGAGCAATTCTAAGAACATCTCCTTAGAATAATTCGAAAGAGAATCTAAACGTTTTCTATAAGAAAAAAATTTCAATATTTCTTTTAATATTTCTTTTAATAAGTTCGAAATTAATTTAGCTTACCAAATATCTATTGGTTTTTTCTCGAAATTAATTGCACACTTCGAAACTCTTTTTTTTCTTTCGAAATTAATTTGACTTTTCAAAATACACTTTTTTTTTTCGAAATTAATTTGACTTTTCAAAACTCTTTTTTTTCTTTCGAAATTAATATCACTTTTCGAAATACATTTTTTTTTTCGAAATTAATTTCACATTTCGAAATTCTTTTTTTCCTTTCGAAATAAATTTCCTTTTTCGAAATCCAGCTTTTTATTTCGAAATTAATTTCACATTTCGAAATTCTTTTTTTCCTTTCGAAATTATTTTCCTATTTCGAAATCCACCTTTTTATTTCGAAATTAATTTCACATTTCGAAATTCTTTATTTCCTTTCGAAATTAATTTCCTATTTCGTAATCCACCTTTTTATTTCGAAATTAATTTCACATTTCTAAATTACTTTTTTTTTTCGAAATTAATATGGCTAGTTCGATTATTATCGAAAGTTTTTTTAGATTTCGAAAAAAAAGAAGTATTTCGATAACGTTTTAATCGAAAATTTTCGAAAATTGCAATTTCGATAATGAACCCTATTTATTACGTTATTTATGCATATTATATATAAATATAGCTATTCTAATAATAAAAAACTACGAAAACAATTTTGGCACAAAAAACTTGATTTTGTCCCACTATGTGATATTAAAAAATGATATTAAAAAATCATGGAACATCGTGACAGAAATAATCGAGACAAAAAATACCAAAACAAGTACCATACCTGTTAGAATTGTTGTGGATGAAACAGAATACAACGATGAAAGTTCTAGTGCAGAAATTATTTACAGTTTCTTTGCAAACATCGATCCTAACATGGCGTTCAAAGTTCAATGCCCAAATACCTATTTTGAAACCTATCTAACAGATCTACATAGCAAACTAAAGTTCAATGGTCTAAGTTATGATGAGCTCGAAGCTGCAAAAAACTCTCTAAAAAATAACAAAGCACCAGGGATCAACGAGATTTGTAGCAACGTAGTAATAGGTGTCTTCCCGGTGATACGCATTGAAAAATTTGAAATTTTAAAATCTTCTATTACAACAGGAACTGTTGTAATAGAAGTCTCATGAAATTGACTTCTTGTTCCAGACAAATTAAAAATTGCAATATTAGATCTTGTAAATAAAATAAATAACTCTTTTAATAATAACAAATTTGTTCTAGGAATCTTTATTGGCCTATCAAAAGATTTTGATAGTGCTGATCATGCTATATTACTTTAAAAAATAGAAAAATTGGCATTAAAAATGTTGCTTTACAATGGTTTGAGAGCATTTTTATTATTATATTTCGTACATGTCTGTCAATATATTAACTATAACAAGCCATGAAATTATATATTTATGTGTATCAAATAAAGCTCTTTTCTCTTTTTAATTATCTAATAGCTTTTTATATGTAACTCTAATGCCATTTGAAAAATTTCAGTTTAGCAAAGTCTCATTAGAGACTTTGCTAAACTGAAATTTTTTAATAAATTAAGTATACGAAAATATCGCAACTAAAAGTGGTTTCTTGATGACAAGACCACATGGTCTTCTGCAAGTTTCCCGCGTTCTTTTAACAGCGTTACTTTTTTATATTTATTATTTGTGCTAAATTTATTATTTATGTACGATATTATATTTTAAACATAGTAAACGAATCAGTTTACTATGTTTAAAATAAAATTTATGATCACTTATTTGTAAAGTTTTAATAAAAGAACAAAAAAAAAAAATTTTTTTTATTTCCAGGTAAACTCCTTTTGAAAATTTAATATGTTTTGTGACTTTGTTGTCTGACTTAAAAAATCTTTTTTTTTGGTTCACATTAAAGCTTGAGTAAATTTTTTTTTGTTTTAAAATTGATCCAACAATGTTTATGTTAAATAATAAACATTGGAAACATATGTTTACTGATTATTTTCCCTTAAAGGTAATACTAAATTATTAAAGTTTATCATTCTGCACGTTTCTTCGAAAACCTAGAAAGGCGTTTTTTATCTACCGCAAATCACTTATGGTAGATGAAAAAGCAAAAGATTTTTTACGAACCAAATCTATTTCTATGACAACTAATTTTTATTTGCGGCTTTTAATTGTGAAAAAAAATGAAAGAATTACGTTGGATCGAATTTAAACAATAAAATGTTTGAAACTGCTCAGCTCACGTACGCATAAGTATTTTAGTAGCAGCAAATCGTAAATAATACCACTGTTTGGTAGCAAAAATAACTATAATTCTTTATTTGAATTAAAATATTAAAAAATATATTATTTAAAATATTTATTTAAACTTTTTAAAGTTAATCAATTCATCAGCATGATAATTTCTTCTGTGTACAATCCGAAGATTGAAGCTCATATAGACAAAAAACTATTATTGTTTAATTTTGATATATCAAAGTTATCAATTAGTTTTCAATTCCTTCTCTGCGTCGGTGGAGTGTTTTTATGTTATCTTCCATATGGCTATTTTCAAGTATGCTTAGTATATAATTATACACAAAATAAAATTTTGATAAAGAGTTGATAAAATTGCTAATTAAATAATTGTTTAAATAAGACATTTAAGCGTTTAAATCAAGTCATGATCTATCAGTATAGTATTTATTTAAGTTACCACGTGCAAAAGTACAATAAGGAAATTATATGGCCTTATGTTCTTAAATCTAGATGTTTCCTATATATAGATGTTAATTAAAAAAATTCTTTTTATTCTTCCTCAGAACTCTTTTTATTTGACAGGTTCAAATATTGTACAGTTTTTTTTTTTTTTTTTTTTTTTTTTTTTTGTTATCAAAGACTAAACTCATACCTCATAAAATGTTTACTTTGACAAAAAATATTGAACAAAAATGTTATACAAATATATTTTTTGTTATATGTTTTTTTAAATTTTTTTTTTCTTTCTATTTGCTTATCTTTCTATTTTGAAACGTGTACACGAAATAAATGTGAAAGTAGAAAAACAACTAAAAAAAGTATCTTCAATTTTTATTTCCAACCAAGTAATAACTTTAATACAATAATATTAGAAGATCAACTATATATTTAAAAAAATTAAATTATTCCTGTGGGAATCTAATAAAATTTCGAACTTTTGCTTTGGTGGTACCCATAAGCTTGTGCACAGAATAAGAATTGAAGCCATTTGATGCTTTTTTAAATGATATTTTAATATCTTTAATATTTCTGCAAAGTTTTTTTGTTTTTTTATTTATTTATTTTTTCAATAATGGCCCAGTACTTTTTAATAACTCTTAATTCTGGGCAATTTTGAGGATTTTCTGTTTTAGCCACAAATTTCACATTACTTCTATACCATTCCTAAGCTAGTTTATGATAATGAATTAAAGCTAAATCTGGTCAGAACACAGGTCTCTTATCATGTGATTTAATGAGAGGTTAAAGACATTTTTGTAAACACTCTTTAACATATATTTGACCCGAAAGTGTGGACTGAGAAATGTAAGGTGCTGATTTTTTGCCACAACTTCAAATAGCTTGCCAAATCAAGACTTTTTTAGCAAACTTGTCATGTTTTATGTATTTAAATTTTTTATCTGCTTTTTCCTCTACATTTGGCAATATAATAGATGGCACCAGGAATTTGCTGATGGTGTACTTTATATAAGTTTCATCGTCTTTAATAATACAGAAATTTTTAGAAATAAAATTGTCATACAATTTTCTGCAGCGGGTTTTTGCACTTTTTTGTTGAGTTTCAGATCGGTTGGGCACTTTTTGTGCTATGAAAGAATGAAAACCATGTTTATTTTGAACTTTTACAACAAAACTATGAGAAAGTTCATAAATGTTTGCGCGCTTCCTTCGTGAAAGGCTTGGGTTAGTCTTAAAACTGTTAACCAGTTTTCTAACTAGTTTTTTTTATCTTTAAAACCCTTTTTTCTTCCACCACCAGATGTATGTTTGATTGATTTTGTTTGAGAAAAACATTGGATTACACGACTAACGGTGTATAGTTGTATTAGCAATGCTTTTGTTATCGAATTGTAGCTATTATTGGGTATTAATATAACCACTAAAAAAAATGACGTACTTAATCATTCACATTTATTTCGTGTACACGTTTTATAATTAGTATTTTTATGCATCAGTTTTAAATGATTTGTATAAATATTCTTGCTGTCATTAAAAGCTGTATTTTTTTAAGTATATAGTATAATGTTTATATACTTATTTCTTAGATAGATAAAATTATTTTAAATATTACTAAATGATAAAAAGTTTATGCAGTAAATAACTGTATAAAAAAAAAGCAGTTCATACGAAGTTTTTTTAAAAAACTTAGTATGAACTGCTTTAGAAGAATACTAAGTTTTTATAAAAAACTTGGTAATTTTGTTGAAAGCTGTATAAAATATTGTATGCAATGTAAAACCTAAAAAAATCAGCTAAACAAAAACACTTTGGCAAATAGTATGAAGAATAAATGCGAAAAGCTTTTTAAAATTTCTTTTTCAACTACTACTGTCTAATTAATTCTAATAATAAAACTTAGTATAAATACAGTATATTTGGTTGCCCATTAAGTCTTCAGCTATTTAAATAAGTTTAAATCAAATTTTTATAAAAACATTTCTAACCTCTGCTACTTTATCCCCTACCATGAGCAGGTGATATTTTTTGTTAGCAAATCTCCTAAACCTAAGTCTTTGTTAGATTAATTTTTTTTTACAATACAGCAGGACAAAAATAATGAAATATAAAGAACTAAACAAATGACCCAAAGTATCAGGAACAACACAAAATATCTATATTAACATAATGTACCAAAAATTAAACAAAACATCTGCAACTGTATGATTTTTTATGTCTGGTACTACACAAAAAATTAGATGATGCTTTTAAAAGATTTGCTACTTGAAGTAAACAAATGATTAAAAAAAAAGGGAAGCAAATAATAATAAAAAAGATAAGCATCTCCTACGGTAGTGGTCCACTAGCCATAGGAATGAAACATTTAGGAAGTAGTTATGGAATATATTTAATACTAATATTTAATTTTTAAGTGTTTGTTTAAAAACCTTAAAAAGAATATTTTTTTACTATTTTATTTTAAATTTGTTACATTTTTAATATTATTTCAGGAGTTCTTGTTCAGTATACCCTTATTCAAACCATACGGATGGTACTTAACATTAGTGCAGTTTGCTATCTATGCAATATTAGCTTTTCTTCAATCAACATTTTTGGAAGAAGAAAAGCAAAGAAGGTTTAATTTTTTCTTATTTAATTTAGATAATATATCTTTTTTTTTTAATTTTTATTCATGCTTTATTGGATATTTAGTTGCTAATATATTAAAAATAGATTAAACCAAAAGTTTGTAGTTTTATTTTGAATAATATTTTGATCTTGATTAGAAAAATGTTAGTTTTGGTTTACATAAACATGGGCATTTAATAAAAAAAAACTTTTAAAAAAGCAGATAAATAAAGATTGGAGCATCACCCCCCCCCCCCCTCATCTCCAAAAAAAACAATGTCATTACGTCTTAGGCAGGGACGCAGGACCCTGTATTTAAAAGTCACAAAATGATTTTTGGTATCTAGGAGCTCCAAAAATATAAGAAAGTTTATGGGCAACTTTTCTGGAAAAAATTAAAACTATTAGGTTAGAAAAACAATCAAATTTTGAGCCCGAAGTGCTTATGTATAATTGCGCCAAGGACTCTAGGATTCCAGGCTAAAAAAAATAGGTTCCAAGTCATTAAATCTCATTAATTTTTTTCCTATTGCAAATCATAAGTCATTCAACATTTTTATGGCTCCTAGACACCAGAACACCAAGAAACCAAGCTTTAAAGCCAGACTCTTTTTGGGACTCCACATCCCTGGCTCTAGGGCTCCAAAATCTTTAAAAATCTTTCACTTTGTATTACAAAAAGAAAAAAAAATCCTTAAATTAATTATTAAAATTAATATAAAAAGTAATTAATTATAAAAAAAATGATATAATAAATTCAGATGGCTATGCTGTTTTGATGAATCCCCACATCACAAGCATTTTAATTGTGAATTCTACAAATTCTAAAGTTTTTTCCATGTTTTTTAACAAAAGAAAAAAAAAATTTTTAATTGGAAATGAAAAAACATGTCTTTAAAAATTGAAAAAATTTATTCACATCAGTTTAAGTTTGTGATTTAAAAACTTTTTTGCAAGTTTAGCCTATGCTCCCTTGACTTTAATTTTACACTGTTACTCTTAGAGTTTTTCTAATCTATAAAGATTAGATAGATATTCCAGACTATCTATTTAATCTTTATAGATATTCAACAAATTAAATATTCTTTAATTGCTCTTTCTTTTTCCTTTTTTTTTTTTTTTTTTTTTGTATATTTTGTGCTTCAGTTTTGGTTTGTTGTATCTTGAGATTAAAATAATATTTTTTATCTCACAACAAAAACTGGTATTACATTAATCTTTTTTGATGAGTTTTCTGCAGGTAGTCCTTAATTATTTTAAGATTGTAAAATATCCAATAGTGTCAAGACTGACTTTTTTCATATTTCCAGTAGTGTCAAGACCGATTTTTTTCTTATTTCCAGCAACAAAATTGGATAAAGCAAAGCAAAAAATAAAACAATTTTAAGTCGACATTAAAAAGACTGATTTTCCTATATTTTATTTGTTTTTTTAAAGAGGAAAATGAAAAAATAAATTGCTATCTGTTTCTGAAATATATTTGTATTATTTTAATGTAACAAGTATATATATATTGACCCTATATGAATATGTCTTTGTAATGGATGTGTATATGTTTATATGAATCGCTAACTTGAAAAAGGGGACATGTTATGTGAATTTTTGCAGGACATGTCCCCTTTTTCAAGTTTGCGATTCATATATACACATATGTTGATTTGTTCATGTATACATATATACATCTCTACCTTTTAGGTAGAGATACATCTTTATACATCTCTACCTTTTACTTTCAACATCCCTTTTTCAATTATATAATTTTATTTATTTGTTTATCAGTATACACACACGTTTAGCTTATTTGGATAAGGCGTTTTTTTTATACACAGAATGACCGTAGTTCGAATCCCTCCACTACCCAATTTTTCATTGTTTTTCTTTTAAATCCTGCTGCTCATATATTTGCTTTGTAACCATTTATATTTACTTTTTTGCATATAAAAAATCTTTCTGTTGTATGTTTTTGAAAGATACACATATCTTCACATTCAGATTTCTTTTTCCATTTAAGCCTCTTAGTATATTTTAAAAACATAGTTTTTAAATTTCAATTATGCCATGCTGTCTACACATTTTTCATATAGCCTTAATTGTTTCACATTACCTTTGTGGTCCTGTACGTTTTTTATCTCAAATCTTTTAGGGCTTTGTAATTTTGAATACCTGTTGCTTTTAAACATTCGGCTGAGCTTAGTTCTACCCTCCAAGTCGGACTGGTCTACTATGTTATCAATAAAATATATGTAAACAGTTATTAATAATAAATCTTTGGTTGAATTTTGTTCTTTTATACTAGACATCCAACACCTTTTAATTTTAACTTTTTAGCTAACTCTTACTCTAATATAATCTTTTCTCCTTATTCTCTGAGGCTCCTATGGCTGTATGTGTTCCACAAAAGTAAATGCTTTTCGGGTCGGCTGTGAATGATAAATATTAAAGTAACAAGTATTGCAAAATAAAATCTTTTGGAATACTAAATTTTATAACAACCAAGCCAAAAAAATAAAAATAAAAGCAGTCCACAGATTATTTAAATTATTAATTTTTTAATTTTTTTCTATTTAAATTTATTTTAATTTCCTATTTTTTAGTTTTGCTTTCTTTGTTTTTTCCGCAAAGTATTAAAGCGCTTAATATAATAAAACTTACAAATAGCCGTGACTAAGTTGCCTAAATAAAAAACTTTTTTATGGACAAATGAGACAAAAAACTACACACATCTCCTGAGAAGTCTAGTTATTGTTAATTGCTATATCAATAAAAAATGACCTTTAAGGAAACAAAGTGTATAAACTAAGTCGTCATTCATTCTGGATTAAATTTTAGTCACAAATAATCCTACAGCAGAAAAAGTTCACTCAGACTCAATATTTGTATATTATAGTATAGGTATAGTCTCCAGTGCATTGAACAAAAGTTCAAGATTGTTCTTTTTCCAGTACCTTCATAGACCCACATTTCTATTGAAATGGTTTTGAATTAGTCATTTGAATTGTGGCATTGTCTTTGGCCAAATGCTGAATTGCTTCTTTGAGTTCATATTTATATTTGGCATTTTTTTGAAGTACAGATTTTGAAGACATTTTGAAAACTTCATTTTCCTTAATAACAGATAAACATTCTGGATTGGAAAGATATTTGTACGAGCTTACAAAATTATTTTCTCTTCAAAACATTTAGAAATTGCTCTCTTCATTTCAATGCAAAGAGTTAAATCTTTTTGTTTCAGTCTCTCACAACAAACTTGAAAATTCTCTTAGCAGTAAAAAGAGTTGCATCCTGTCAGCAAAGGACTTGCCAATTTGGCTGGTTCAAGAGCAGTAACAATGTTGTATAAAATGTTTACTTTATAATTGCTGCAAATCAAATGCGGATAAATATCTTTTAATACTTTTCTGATTAAATCTTTAACTTTGAGAAACTGTTGAATCATCAACAGTAGACTATTTCATCTTGTTTTGCAGTCAAGGATAAGCTAAACCTCTTTTCCATGCTGTTTCTTAATTTCTTGTTGGAGGGCATCATTTTTGATTAAAGATTTTTGAAATAACTTGACTTTTATGATCAAAGGTTGCAAGTGTACTTTCACTTTTGGAATGGGAATGTTTTCATTCATGGCATCATCAAGAGAACTGTATCTGATTCAGTTTCTTCACTGCTGACTTCATCTTGTTACTTGAAATAAGCTGTTATCAATTTCTTGGGTTGGCTTCTTGAACTGCCAAATGCATTCCATGTGTGTTACATATTTTATGCTCAGTTGGAACTAGTTTTCCAAACTTAACCATCGTGAAGATCCATCCATAGCTGAGCAGACAATTTTGTTACCAATGTTTAATCCAAATTTGGCCACTTTTTTAACTGGCAGAGATCCAGAAATTTGAGTCAAGCCCAGATTTCAGTATGTGTATTTTTGATGAATATTAATGTTTATGCACCTTGGATTTTTCTAAGAAGTGTACTCATTTTTCAATGCTCACTAAAAATTTAAAAGTGTTTTTAAGGTCATTTTTCATGCCAGTTGCAAACTTTTTAACTGACTGGATTGCTTGCTTGTAATTTTTTGGAAAATCATAACTTTTTTCACACATTGCAGATCAAATGAAAAAACTGTTAACATTGGCATGGAAATTAAATCCATCCAGTGGTGTTTGTCTTAAAATTGCTTTTTCAATTGGATGCTTTGAAAAAAAAGTTGAAATTTTAGACTTTTTTAATTCTGTTGCAGCTTTTGCTGTTAACTTTTCCTGTGTTTCTTTTTGGTTCATTGCTTTTTGTCTAGATGATACCACATTATAGTTGTGAAGCATGAGTATACACTGATATTTCAACATATTTTGCTAGCTATTATTTTTCATTTGATTAAGGTGAAGTGTTTCCGAACATCTGACATTTTGACCAAAAGCAAATCTAATTGATAAATGTCACTATAAATACATCCCATGAAAGTAGTAGTATCTTTCTTAAAATGTTCAGAAAAAACTTAACCAACAGAATTAGTTTCCAAACAAAACAAACAACAGCTTAGATAATAGAAAGTGATTCTTAAATCTTTAATTAAATTTTTAATTTACTGATCATGCTATTTCAAACCTTGTAAGGTATTTTAAAGCATTTTTGAGCTTAATAATTTTATTCATCATCTTCAATTTTTAGATTAGAGAGACAAACAGTCTCTCTCCAGTGGAGAAGTTCTGATTTATGTATAGGAAAACAATATACTTAACATTAGGAATAATATGTGCATTTCTGAGGTACTGCTGAAAATCTTAGCTTTTTTTTTACAAGATATTATTCACCAAAGTATAAAAAAAAAAAAAAAGAAATCTTCATAGCTTCATAGCTAGGGATTTCAAATGAATTGTTTAATTTTTAGTATAGTGTAACAGGCTTGGTCGGGAAGCGAGTGCGATCGCACTCAATAACTGACCACGGAAATAATATTTAGTTGCGAAAAACCGACCAGATTTTTTAGAACATTTCAAAAACAAGATTTTTTGAGAA